TTCCACTATCAGCTATTCATCCTGTTCTTCCTTACAATTGGGTGGTCCATAGAACATTTTAATTAATCTAGTCTTGGCTCTCCACTTTTGAAAGATGAATACATTTCAGACCTGGAAATAATCCAAACGTCCTATCTCTTTTGCTTTCAAACACTTCATTGCATCTTTACTTCTCCGCCCAAATGTTTTCCCTATAATCCTCTTTTCAAATGGAGGGACCACAAAAACTTCTTTTGAGCAATCTTCTTTCTTCTTCCTATGCTTTCTGCTGCATATATTTAGATATTTTCCTTTCTTGCCATTATGTAACAACAATTTTTAATGTGAGAGATTTTCTTTCTTGCTTTGTTTGCCTACAGAACTGCTTCCCTCTTCAACTCAAGTGCCATTTATATAAGCTGGTTTTTCCTACATATTTCTTCCCTGCTTTTCTCGCTGTTAGTTTTTTTAATGGGACACTGTCAGCTTGTTTAGGACCACAAATTTTCCTTTGTAATAGTTTCATTCCATGAAGCACCTTTGGAAGATTTGGAGCCATATTATTAAACATAGGTGTCTAAGTTGTGCTTGCAAAACATTTATGTGACAACCACCATCTTGGTTAACACTCCAGTGATCTCCAGAGCTAACAGCGTAAGCTACTACACTTTGACCTAAAGAGCCAATACTGTCTAGCTGGGGTTGTAACACTCAGATACTCTGGGATCAGGCAGAGAGCGGGACCTGTAACACACATTCATTAGAGGGTTACATTTGCATACCCACAAAAACAAGTATTGTGAGCATATGGGTGTTCGGGCACACAAATATATATTTGAACATGCAATTGTGTACATATGCTGTACATGCAAACACCTGACTAAGTACAGCCCACATTACCATGGCATCTGAGCACCAAGCACTCCTTAATATATTTATTCTCACCAGACTGCTGTGCGTTCTGCTATTAGCTAAACAAGGCACATGACCATATCAGCTAAAAATCTAATACTCATGCACACCTTCATGGTTCTAAGATTTAGCTCAAACAAAAAATCAGAAAAAGCTTTATTGTGCACACTTGAAAATGCTTTTAGCACTCATAGCTTCAGAATTGCTAAACCAGTTTCCATAAAACAACTCAAGTTTGAACAAAATCCATTCAAGCATTATTGAATTACCCAGGGACAACATTTCTAATGTGATAATGCAAGTTGTTTGTTTTGTTATGACCACAGTTCAATAATATCTGAAGGGAGTTTGCACAAACATTTAGTAGATTTCTAGATCAGCAGGGACCATTGTGACCATTTAGTCTGATCTCCTGTGGGCCATAGAACTTCCCCAAAATAATTCCTAGAGCAAATCTTTTAGAAAAAACATCTAATCTTGATTTTAAAATTGCCATTGATGGAGAAACCAGCATGACCCTTTGTACGTTGTTCCAAGGGTTAATTACTCTCATGGTTAAAAATGCATGCCTTATTTCCAGTCTGTATTTGTCTAGCTTCAACTTCCATCCACTGAATCGTGTTTTACCTTTCTCTGCTAAATTGAAGAACCTGTTATTAAATATTTGATCCCCATGTAGGTACTTATAGACTGTGATGAATTCACCCCTTAACCTTCCCTTCATTAGGCTTACTAGATTGAACTCCTTGACTCTATCACTATAAAGCAGAGGTGGGCAAATTACAGCGGCCCGCGGGACCGTCCTGCCCGGCCCCCGAGCTCCTGGCCCGGGAGGCTCGCCCCTGGCCCCTCCCTTGCTGTCCCCCCTCCCCCGCAGCCTCAGATCACTCGCTCCGCCACCAGCACAATGATCTGGGCGGCGGGGCTGTGAGCTCCTGGGGCAGTGCAGCTACAGAGCCCGGCCTGACCCGGTGCTCTGTGCTGCATGGTGGTGGTGTGGCCTGGCTCCAGTTGGGCGGGGCGGCTGTAGCGCTGCCAGCTACCGATGCTCCAGGCAGCATGGTAAGGGAGCAGGGGAGGGGGGTTGGATAGGGAGCAGGGGAGTTCTGGGTGGTGGTCAGGGGGTGGGGGTATGGATAGGGGTCGGGGCAGTCGGGGAGGAACAGGGGGTTGAATGGGGGCAGGAGTCCTGGGGGGGGGGCAGTCAGGAAGGAGAGGGGGTTGGATGGAGCGGCAGGGGGCAGTCA